AGGAAGAGTAGTGATAAACCAATTCTCATTCAAACACAAGGAGACAAAAGATAACCATGCTGATTACAGGACACAGAGAGAAGCTAATAAAAGTGACTGAATAGAAACACCACAGTAACTTCTGTAGATTAGATAGATAATAAGTGCTTGATACCAACTAAATACATACTTCAAGGGAGGAATTGTTCTATTTTCAGCTGGGCTAATTCCATTAAGTAGTGCCTTTCGGGAGTGTACGATGAAATGCTTAGTTGGTGATTGAGACGAAACCTTGTATATGAAATCACCTGCAGAGAAAGAAAATGGGGCCTATAAATCAGGATAATACCAATTTTATCTAACCAAGTTTTCTACGTTAATCCTCAAACAAAGAAGCAGAATTGGCACCCAGAATCATTAATGAAATAATTTAAATGACAACTTAAGGGAATCCATTTTTATACGGACATGATGACATAGGTGCAGATTCGAGTAGTTAGCAATCACTGTAAATGTGAATATGTACCCATACCCCAGCATCACTGGAATATGACTAGATTATCAAATGACTAGTTGCATCGTATCCAAAAATACAAAACAAGAAAAGGAAAAATGTTACTTTTATTAAATGTTAAAAGTAAGACAGCAATGTAAGTTGGTCATGCATATGATTGCACCTTTATTAGCTTACATTTCAGGTGATGGAGAAAAAAGGGGAAAAAGAGCCTCTTTACTCTTTAGGAAAACTCTCAAATAATAATCATGGTTGAATCTTAGACCTAAACAAATTTGACTATACTAAACATGGAGGTCCAGGTCTATGACTTCAGAAAATTCACTTCCAGGAAACACTTATAAGTGCGAGCAAGACTGATCACCACAAACAGAGTTGCAAATCAAAGGGGGAATAGGCAACTGAATATTTTATGGATATATAGCTAGTTACAAGTAAACAAATGTTAAGTCTTTTTGAGTGTCATACAACAATCTACTAGGTCCCAAATGTTAAAAATGAAGATGTCAGAGCTTCCATCTGTACCATGTTATTTCTTAAGGAAACATGAGTGTTTTAATCAATCCTGAATGGCGTATTTAGCGAACCTTCATTTTGTCCTTTTTAAAGAAAGAAGAGGAAGAACTCACATAGCTCATTGTATGAATCATGATCGTCAACACCAATTCGACATTTTACACTAACAGGAACATCTGTATTTGCTGCAATCACAGACATGGCCTCAGCTACAAACTTTCCTTGTAAAAGACAACATAACTATGTCAAAACACACTCACATACAGTATTATCTCAAATAGGTCCAGAGCCATTACATACCTTTGGATCAAGCATAAGACGCACCCCAAAACACCCATGTCCAGCAACCTTCGGACTAGGACATCCACAGCTGTTATCAAAATGTCTTGGTTCAGTGATGAGAGAGAGAGAGAGAGAGAGATCCAATATTTAAAACTACAGAAACAAACTTGAAATTGATCTCGTCATATCCATAAGGCTTTGCAAGTTGAGTTGCTTTAGCAATGTTTTCCAAATTATTTCCCCCAATCTGAAGAACTATAGGATGTTGCTCCGGACCAAATTCCAAGAATCTATCCTGATATGCGAAGAAATTGTAGATAAAGTCAGATGTGAAGCGGACTCCTAAATAAAAGAGATGCACCACTCTCAAGTTGAAGAGCATTGAAGTATTTATACCATAAATGTTCCAAGAAACACACATCAAATAGTAAGAAACTGTGTGTAAGCTGAAAATCCAGCAAAAATCCAACATCTAATTCCAACATCTAAGTAAGATTGGACATAATTTTTTTGCTCGCTAACAGAAATAAATTCAAGATACAAACTCTAAATGAATATTATTACCAAATTCCCCTTCTGATAAACAATTGTTTCTGCAGCAATCATTTCGGTGTATAGCCATGCATGCTTTGAGATGAGCCGAGCCATAGTCCTATAATGATTATCTGTCCACTCCATCATGGGAGCAACACTGTATTTAAAAGTGCAATAATTATAAAGGGTTCAAAAATCAACTAATCCACCTACTGAAAGTAAACGAACACAAAGCTCAAGAAACACACCTGAACCAAGGGTGATGATAGCAAGCAGCAACCATAATAGATTTTGTGTGACACAGGTACTTCTGATGGTAGGAATGTAGTTTCCTTGGTTTTGAAGTATTTCCACAAAATAAGTTCGTCAATGATCTGCCATGAGGTTTTAGGATAACGGAATGAGAAGCTCAATTTCTTCGTTCGTCTCTATGTCCAGCAGATATCATCATCCCTCTAATTGGACGGTAGCCTGGTCTTTTATGTACCTATCCAATGGATAGAAACTAAAATCACACAAGAACATGATTTTCAACATATAGAGAGACTGAAAGAAAGGGATGACTGCTATTCTAGTAGGCACCTACAAACTATTGGAAGAAACTATTAAAAAGCAGATGATCAAGGATTCAAGACACATGAACATCGCTAAGTATAGTCAGAGCAAAGTTTTAACTCGTTGGGAAGAATTTGAATCAGATATCAATTCATGCAAAAACCTAGACATAATTCTTATGCTATTTGTACAAAAGGCGTGGAATTTTGAAATTTCCATGAGATGTTGAACATTAAACCCGATTTTAACAAACCTGAGTCACTGCCCTAATTCTGTATCAAACCACCACCATCAAAATCCCCCACTGGAAGCCCTTTACACTTATGGTATGTTTAGCAAGTTTGGCTGGAATACCATCTTAGTTGTTATACTGGACACCAAACATCCCAAGTTTGTAAAACACTTAAAATCAAAAAAACATAGACCCGATTCAGAATTTAAGCAATCCTAGGTACAACAATTTCTCTGCATATTTGACCAATAAACATCCTGCGAAAGGAGGAGGGTAGAGCAGCTGGCTAGATCAACCTCATTTAACAACAATTTCAAGTGTCCATTATAACTTCGATCTTTTAACAGCATTATACCAATTTCCCAGCAATATTTACCCACATTAAATTTCTCAACTTTATGTCTCCTTGTCCTACAAAAGTTAATTAAAAATTCTCTCTTTATTCTCCTTGACAAAAAAAGTAAAACTCAATCTTTCACACAAGGTGTTACTCGGTAAACTTTCTTGACAGGGTTATAGAAAAAAAAATGCATATACAATAGTTTTGCATTAGAATAATAGAAATGGGAATTTGCAAGGCAAGAAACTGGAGAAAATGAATCCACAGAATACAAAGAGATAAGAGGGAGAAAGAATAATTACATGAACACCTGAGCGAGGAGGGGACGGACCGCCTCTCTTGCGTGTCGCTGTACAGCCAAGGTCAATCTTGTAGGATATATGTACGTTTTGCCAATGTTGTCTCAATAATCAAAATAGAGGTGCCCATAAAAGGGAAAAATTGTGCCTAACGATAAGTTTTTCTTTTTAAACACAATTGCCCATATATAGATTGTGTATATATATATATATATGACGTGTTCAGTAAAGATTAAAATTGAAAAATTAGTCGTTATTGTGAACTTTTATTAGACGAGTGGACCCAATAACGACTATATTTTCAATTTTAATTGAATTTTAATCTTTACCAAATAATCTCATATATAAATGGTGAATAGTCTTTGTGAATTTCTCAAATCATGTTGATAAAAAGTGATTTCAATGTTTATAAATAATTTTTAAACATGAGCCAAATATAGGTTTAACCATTACTTTAAAAAAAATTCAATCAAGAAATTCATCTTTTTCTTTTTAAACACAATTGTCTATATATATATATATTTTTTTTTTTCTTTTTAAATAATTTGAACGATTTATAAATATTTTACAAAATATAAAAAGCTATTATATGACAATTGTGTTTAAAAAGAAAAAGAAAAACTTATCGTTAGGCACAATTTTTCCCTTTTATGGGCACCTCTATTTTGATTATTGAGACAACATTGGCAAAACATACATATATCCTACAAGATTGTGTATATATATATATGACGTGTTCAGTAAAGATTAAAATTGAAAAATTAGTCGTTATTGTGAACTTTTATTAAACGAGTGGACCCAATAACGACTATATTTTCAATTTTAATTGGATTTTAATCTTTACCAAATAATCTCATATATAAATGGTGAATAGTCTTTGTGAATTTCTCAAATCGTGTTGATAAAAAGTGATTTCAATGTTTATAAATAATTTTTAAACAAGAGCCAAATATAGGTTTAACCATTACTTAAAAAAAAATTCAATCAAGAAATTCAAAACACAAAGTTGTTTTGTATTGAATCAATTATAGTTCCATGAAAATAATAAACTAGAAGCTTAAAATTGGATCGAATCATCTGCAATAATCTATGGTGCGTTTAGCATACAAAATTAGGTCGTATAAGAAATTTTAGTATATAATTGTAATGGATGGTGCTAGGTATATGTTTATATTATATTGTGGTAGATTAAGGAGGAGATGTTCTTTAATATTTTTCATTTATTTTTTGAAAGAATGTCATTTGCACTATTTTTTAACATAATGTGGAGGCTAGAGATGAAATTAGATTGAATAAGAAAATACATAGTTAATGTACTATTTTAAATGAAAATAACAAAAAAAAAATTATCTTGTTTAATCCATCATAATACTCTTTAACCAGTATTATTCATTAAAATTTATATTTGCTAAAAAATTGAATTTTTTTTATTATTATTTTGATAAAAGCTGACAAAATGTATAGTTAAAAATTATAAATTCCATAAAATATGAATTTTTTTTATTATTTAAATTTTTATCAACATTTTTAATTAAATTGTACCAAGTGCACCTAAAAGTTTGTGTAATGTATTTTTTTTCTTTCAAATTTATGGATTAGCCCTTGAAAAACCCTTTTATATCAAAGGGCTACCCTTTTGCTATCTATCGTTTTGTACATGTGGTGGATAACTACTTTAACAGCATCTCAAGAAAATCACAAAATCACAAACATTTTCTTGATTACATTCTTATCACCACCACTCTTCCAATGGCTAGTCTAAGTTTCAACTCCACAAGAATCAAACATCCCATCACCAATTTCACTTCCTTAACCAAACAAATCCAATTGAATCACTTGTTTCAATTCTCCACAAAGAAACCCACCAACCCAAAAATCAAAACTTCCCATTTTCAACCGTGTTTTTCAGTCTCTGAAAGCTCAGTTTCTCCATTACCATTGGAAACTGAAGCTGAAGAAGCTGTTTTTGATGAAGAAGATGATGACCCAACAGCAGAATTGAGTTATCTTGATCCAGAAGCTGATCCTCTCAGCATTACTGAGTGGGAAGTGGATTTTTGCTCTAGGCCAATTCTTGATATTAGAGGGAAAAAGATATGGGAGCTTGTGGTTTGCGATGATTCGCTTTCGCTTCAGTATACCAAGTATTTTCCAAACAATGTCATCAACAGTGTCACTCTTAAGGATGCTATGGTTTCTATTTGTGATGAACTGGGTGTACCTGTACCAGATAAAATCCGATTCTTCAGGTGATTTTTTCAATATCTGATGTACAGATTTTTTATCAAACATTGATAGAGGTGAACTGATATTTGGTATTTGGGGATATATATGTTTATAGGTCACAAATGCAGACAATTATATCAAGAGCATGCAAAGAGCTGGGCATAAAATCCATACCTAGCAAAAGGGTATGTATTATTCATTTTCTAAAAGTCATTGCTCTTTTAGTCATATTCAGTTCAATTCGTGTATGTGCTACGCAGTACCAATAGGACTAGCAATACAAGGAGCAAGATTTTAACTTATTGTTTACCTTAAAACGACCCAAATGTCAGTTTGTAAGTTTTTTAATGAAAAAAGAATATGTTGCCCCTCTCTGTTCTTGAGATCATTAAATTCTCCACTGGCTAGTTTATTGTTCAGAAATGTCTGTTATTGATAAAAGGAAAATGACCATTTCATTTCTTGCAATCTGAATATGAGGTTTTGCATTTGATTTTTGATGTAATAATTCTTAATTGTCTCCCATCAGACAGCGTGAGGAATGTCTTGGAGAAGTAGTATAATATGTTGCATAATCAAGCAAATTTTGGTGTTACAGGAATTTATATTTATATATGCCAACATTAAACAATATGAAACCATTATAATGCAATAAGCTAGTGTTCTTATTCCTTGTGTAGTACAGAGGGCTTTATCTTATTGTTACTTTCAACTTGAACATCTTCGATCCTATGTTTCAGTGCTTATCGCTACTTCTTTGGCTTGAAGAACGCTATGAAACTGTATACATGCGCCATCCAGGTTTCCAAAAGGGAACTAAGCCACTTCTAGCACTTGATAACCCTTTCCCAATGGAACTTCCAGAGAACCTCTACGGAGAAAAATGGGCTTTTGTGCAGTTACCCTTTTCAGGTATGCGCAAATGTTTTAAGTTACATGACCGAAAACTATCTTATCTGTCCAAAAATTCGTCTCAAGTTTAAGAAACTTGGATTGTCGATCATCTTAAACTGGGACTTATCGTGAACTCACATTGATTTTTACCAAACTACTAGAATTTTCCAGTATCTTGAAACCTAATTATTAATCCCGTTGGGAAAATCAATTCTATGTTTTATCATCATATACTTATTACAGTTTTCATTTTTCAACTGTTCGAGGAAATGTTATATCATCATGATCATAATTTAGCTCTCTCTTCTCAGCTGTTCAGGAGGAATTGTCGTGTTTAGACTCAAGATTTGGTGCAACTTTAGATTTGGATCTTTTGGGAATTGAAGTTGATGACAAGACATTGATTCCTGGACTTGCAGTTGCAACTTCACGAGCTAAACCATTAGCAGGTAAATTTTCTTTTATCTGTTCAAGAGTAATTCATTTGCAAGCTTAGATTCAACATTTACCTCGATTTATTGTATATGCTTTACATGCTTCGAACAATGGATTGCTCAGCTTGGATGAACGGTCTAGAAGTCTGTTCGATTGAAGCTGATGCAGCCAAAGCTTCTTTGATATTGTCTGTCGGGATCTCTACACGCTACATTTATGCCACGTACAAGAAAACACCCGAAACTACAAAAGAAGCTGAAGCTTGGGAAGCAGCAAAGAAGGCCTGCGGAGGCTTACATTTTCTTGCTATTCAAGATGACTTGGATTCAGACGACTGTGACGGATTTTGGCTCTTATTAGACTTGCCACCTCCACCTGTATAACGAGTAGGGGAATTTATCTTGTACAATTTTTTTTCCTCAACTACAATGCCTTAGCTTCATTGTGAATGTGTGGCAAGTTATGCTCACGTTACTATTAAGTTTAGTTTTCATGAGTACGTTTTTGGAGCTACTTCGACATGTATACTCCTTAAAGACTTCATATGTTGTAGATAAATTACTGTAAATCGAAAGAACTAAACTGGACTAGACCGTTCGATTCTACCCCATAATCACATTTCATTTTTCCATCTATTTTTAATGACGACGTTAAAATTTGACTAGAATGGACCAATGCTCTCTAGGCAGTTGGTTCTTCACTTCGCTAAAAGAAATTACTTATTTTGAGAATAACTTTTACCTTACTAAAATTAAATAGCATACTTATTTCCAATTTTCATCGTAAGAAGCTTTTTACACTGATACAAACATGCTCATTTAAACTGAAATGTTGCTTCAATAGCACAATTCTCTTCATTGAGAGATAAAAGCACAGTTGAGGTTGGCTAAGAAATGAGTACCAAAAAGAAGACAAAATTTCACAACGCATGTTGTTAACTTCACAACCAGTCTCCTGCCTGATATTATTCAGCCTTCGGCTTCTCAAGCTTGAAAAGACGATAGAATATGGACAGCAGCCATTGCCAAACCAAAATCAGCCAATTCTTTGGTTTTGGTTTGGGATTAGATTTTGGTCCAAATAATCCTTTGTAGAGTTCCTTTTGTTTCTGATAAACAGCCTTGTCATGTTCTGCTAGCAAGCGTGCACAATTGCTTTGTCATCAGGTGCATATTTACATGCCTTTAGGAAGTCCTCGCGAGCTGCATCTGTCTGTCCAAGTTCAGCTCTAGCTTTACCACGTCTGAACAGTGCTTTGACATTGTTTTCATCCTCAACCAACACCTAAAGAACATTAATCAATCAGCATTTTAATTTTACGACTTTTCACAATATTTATGATTTTCAATTGCTGAGGTTGAAATATATTTAGACATTCTTCACAAATTCAGCTATTCAAAAAAAAACATTCCACAAAATCGAAACTACACAATCAAAATAACATGGGGTCGCATGCTCTTTTCATTTTCCTCTTTGCCCGTCTTTCATTAATTCTATTAGTAATATTGATCCTCTAGAGTATGTTATGGAACCCTTAAAGTTCAACAGATCAAATAGCTATTACCTCAAGTGTAGAAAACCATGAACAGCATCCATTTCCCCGTTACCTTATCAACTCATAAATACAACAGCAAATTGTGCTCTAACTAGATGCCCTTATTGTTCTGTTAGATCTCTTCTAATAAGCTTTCAAATATGTTCAGGTGTACAAGAAAACATAGTTTCCTCCAAGATCAAGAACTAGTCCATATTTCAATCTAAAACAAAGAAGGATATAGCTGACATATTTCTTTCCGGGAGAAATTCTATTTTCTTCAAAGTCAAGAAAAACTTACAAGAATTGAATTAGTAATTACTAAGACAGAATGGAGATGAACCATAGGGAATTGTATACGTACAATGCTGCACTGAGCAATGGCTTCGTCAAATCGCTTGAGCTTTATCAGACATGCGGTCATGTTGAGGTGACAAGGATTTTTTACCGCCAAAGCCATGTCCCGATACTTACCAAACAACTGAAACATGAAATCATCTCCCATATATGCTATGGCCTGTTGCACAAAAACATTTGTTAATTTGATGAATAAAACTTCGAACATATATTAATATTGAAACAACAAATCCTGAAAGTGGTAGTTTTGTAACCATTTCGTACTGCTGCATAGCCTCCTCCAGTTTTTCCTCCTTGAATAATGCATTCCCATCCATCTTCCTTCTGTCCGCTGTGCCAATCCTCTCCTCTACTGTCATCTCACTGTGTGGTTTCCCCTATTCCAAGTTTCTCCCAGAAAATAAATTTTTTTAGCATCCGTTGGAATCAAACTTTGAACATTTATGGAAGAAAGTCAAGAAGTTAGTTACTCACTTCTTTGGTTTCATCAAAACCTATTAACTCAACTTCATATATAATATTTGCCATTTGTGGAACATTTGGAAAAGAAAAGCTTCCTTCTTTTCCATACCCTAGTTCCCAACCAACATGTAAAAGTGCCCGTTCTCCAGACTTCATGCTGGAAATGCCAATAGCTAGCCCTGTCATTTCTTTTTTCTCTGTGGAGAAGATTAATGAAATTCCAAATTATATTAAAACTTCAGAATGTAATTTGAAAAGACATTAAGAGTGCCATCAAAATAAGAAGTTCAGTGCCCACTTAAGACCTTACATTGTTTATTTATTTCTGCCACAAGCAATAGAATCCAAATTGAAATTTAATATGCTGGTCGTGGACATAAAAAGGAATGAAACCTTGAGAATAACCAATAACAAGACCAACCATTATCAGATGGCTAGATGCTTAACAGGAAGTATGAGAACAAAAAAGAAATTGCAGTTAATTAAACAATATATTCCAGGATGAATTTCAGCAATTACCTTTTCCCAAGACAAGCTCGAGGGGTCGTTGCTCGTGCCATGTATCTTCAAATTTGTGCTGGGTGCTTTCAGTCCATGCTCTGTAATGCACTGTCAAAATAAATGTGGTTACTTTAATTTCAAAATATATTATCCTAATGCTATTAGTAATAACTGATTGGTCACTCTTCAATTAGTAAATTCTGAACCATAAATTCTATACCGGCTTAAATGATTTGAATAAAGACGGTTTTCCCTTTTTTTAACGTCAATCGACAGAAAATACCACAGGCGCGGCTGCCAATCAACATAAAATACAATAGGCATAATACTGCACCTTCAAAAAAAGTAAAACTCTCTTTAAGATGTTGTCTAGATAGTAAACAATACCATGATGGAGCTCAATAGGATAACTAGGAATCCCACTGGATCTCATTTTTTGGTTTTAGGAAAAAATATGAGTGGATACAGATATTGAAACTGAATTTTAAAGGATTCAAATTTGTCCTTCGACATTATAAATTTGAAAACATGGAAAGAATTTGTGAAATTCTAGTCAGCATATTTTTATCTAGAAGCCTCCAAAATCGTCAGACGTGACAAGAAATAATTTTCGTTAATCTCCTTTTCATCTATTGATTTTTTCCACATTTCTTCCTCAAAGAAACAGAGGGCAGAGGTTGGAGGTCAGATCCATTTTGACAAGAACCTTTTCATCTATCGAGTTTTTTACTGAACCTTGCACAAGAATATTCATAACTTTCATAATATTTCACCCTCACCCTCAATGGATAGATGGCCAGAAAGATCATTATGTAAACTTTAAAGAATATTTTCTGTTCGATGTCTGTCCATGTAATATGACAAAACATAGAACATGAAGCCGTTTCTAGATCAGTCAAAGATCTCAGGAAATTGATGTTCATATGTCAGTTAAACAAATGCAACGATAACCCATGAAAAAGAATTTTCAAGGTTTTGAGAATCTGTTGAATATGGACTTACAAAAGCATGTCGAATATGTTGATGGCTTCTGACCATGACCTTCTTTAATAACTTGCTTTGTCACTTTCTCATGAAGAACTTCAACATCGGAATGAACTTCGGGGGGACCATTTTCATCTTGAGGAGGTTCTCCAAGCACAACTGAAGCACCTTCAGTGATGATTTCATCATTACCATTTTGATCTACAAAGCATAATTTTTTTTTTAATTAATCCAAAAGGTTTTCCCATCTCAAATTCAATAACATTTTTATTATTCATCCATAGAGGAGAAGACCTACATGTTATATTGCCTTATAAGAATAGACAATATGTTCTAACATCCCAAACTATCCAAATCAAAGGACATTCTTCAAATTCCAATGCAGGAACTGTTGTCCATGCTTTAGCCCTAGGGAATAAAATCAGCTTACAGAAGATGGTTTACCTTAACTAAAGGCCAATGTGTTATACAAAATTACCAACAATATTCTAATCAGTTTGCCTATAACTATCCATTTCACAGAATTCTATAGAAGCTCAATAGAAAGGCACACACTTCAACTAAAATTAAGTGCACCATATAATGAACACAATAGTATACTGAATCCATCATAAACACCACAAAAAGAACTACTTTACAAGTTCCAAAACCATTTTTCAACTTAGTCTTTATCCTCTGAAGGTAACCCAGAAAACCCACCAATCGTAAAAATGATTCAAGTTTGATAATAATCTGCAGAAATTTGTGTTACTTGTTCACATTGCAGGGTTTTCACAACTCAAGCGGTCTATCTTTCCTTTTTCTTTTGTTCATACAACATCTGTGGCTCATTACATTCTTTAACTTATGGACACGAGTAATGTAATAAGGAAAATTGGCAAAACCATATTATGGTTAAAGAAGGTTAAAAATAAGATAAATTACCTGCTGGTGGACTCTGCTGCTCCTCCAATTCCACCATTATTTTAGATGTTGCTAAAGTTTTCTTGAAACCTCCAAGTTGTAACAGCTTGTTATTATCCCTTTGAAAAATAAATTAGCTCACAATCAAATGAGCCAACATATAATTAATAGGAAAAATGCAGGACTGTCAAAAGAAAATATCAAAACAATATTTTGATGTGTATGGCAATCTGGGAGGCCGTATTTACAGGCTTGGAATTAGTTCCAACTCCAACATATTTTGTGATGGTAAAATTTATTAAAGTAGTATACAGTATACTGTAATCAAAATAATCAGAAAATGCATCATTAAAATTTGTTGAAAAGTAAAAAATTGCGCGATTGTGAATAGTTATACTTCATTTCCCTACACTTCTGATTACATTAAGAGAATAATATACTACTCATAAGCCCATGATGTTCACACAAAAATCAAAATGAGTTCAAGAAAACAAACTGATGACGAAATGGAGTGAACTTACTGGGTTTTTCTCCAATTTTGCGTATACTAATGACGAAGGCTTTAAATCACTTTTTCGGTAAACAAGATCGAAACTTTAGATCTCTATTTATGTGATTAAGAGATTGTATTGTCTTTGTAATGGTTGAAGAAGAATCGGGAGACTGCACACTTAGCTAGTAGCTGAGGAAATACATGTAAATAACCTTTTCATTGTTGCGTATTTTCAAAGTGAACTTTGACTTAGGAAATAGAATAAGAAAAAAAAAGAGAGAGAAAAATGTGAAAATATAGTTTTACTTGAAAAAAGTCAAAAATACTCTCACTTTGTCATAAGGAAGGCTCTCGGGACAATTTAACTAGACCAGGTGTTTAATTTTAACTTTTTAAAAATCAGGTTTATACGTTTTTTAATCAAAAATCAGGTTTTAATTTCAACAATTAATATTGATAATGATATTTTAAATTAAATTAATTTATATACCCACACATACCCCACCCCACCCCAAATTTCACAAAATTTCCAAACCTAATCTCTCTCCTCCCTCCTCCTCCCCTCCCGTCTCCCCTGCCTCCTCCTCCCGTCTCCGAACATTCATCTATCCCCTAACATATTTGCATACAAGGCATATATGGACCTCAATGTTCATTGCTACCAGCAAATTTTCTTCATTATCATAAGCTGTTCCCAACCGAATTTAATGTTAAATATTACATATAATTTATCAAACAGTATATTCTTTTTTCTTATGAGGCAGAGAAGTTCACAAGGTTACTGAAAGGAATACAGTCAAGAATCAGGCAAAAACCAGTCAAGTGGGGAGATTGCGTTCCTGCTTATGTATAGAGGGAAGAATAACAGATCGGAGAATTCATCTTAATCAATGACAAACTAAAGGCCAGTTGTCATTTGTTTTGAAATATTAAAGCATTTGGTTATGTGCTTAGTGATCCAGCATACAATGTGCTTTTAAAAGAAGTATTTTGCAAGGTCAAATATCATCATTTGAACTTCAGCATCTCCAATTGATATCTGTGACCAGGTATTGTTAACTATTTGGTCGTTCCGTGACCTGTAACCCAGTATTGTTGGTGTACTGTGATTGGG